TATATTTTTAGTTGTCCAGATAATTTCTTTCTATTTTTAGTAGAGACGGGGTCTCGCTCTTGCTCAGGCTGGTCTCAAACTCCTGACCTTGAGCGATCCACCCGCCTCGGCCTCCCAGAGTGCTAGGATTACAGGCGTGAGCCACCACACCCGGCCGACACCTTTCTTTATTAAAAGCCATTGTTTGGCACCCTTGTAATGTCTCATGTTGGTTTATCTCCTTATAAACCAAACCATGTGGTTTGTCGAGGTAGTGGGGTATAGTGGAAAGACCATGGATTTTGAAGTCAGACTTGATTGTATCTTATGCTTATGTGTCTGAAAGCTTGCTTGCTTTTGATTCACGCCCATCTTGTTAGCTGGCCAACTTGGTCAAATAATTTAACCTTTCTACTTATATTCCTTATTTACAAAGATGGGGATTCTGGAACACCTTTCCCTCAAGGTTGTTTTACATTTGAGATAAATTAATAAATATACAAGTCCTTAGCACAAAGTCATCAGCAGATGATAGTCTTCCTTCCCTAGCCATGCTCGTAAAAATTAACTTCATAGAGTAACTCTTTGATTAACTTCATAGAGTAACTCTTTGAATGTATTATAGTTTTAACTTTGGTCGTTAGAATGCTCAGGAACAGTAAGTTATTAAGCTATCGTCTCTCAGCTCCAATTTACCCTTTTATATCCTCTGCGCTGCTGAGGCTGAGATGCTTCAAGCCCATTTTCTCCTTTCGCAGCTGGCTCTCAAATAAGCTGTGTCAGTCATGGCGCTAGAGGAGGGCAGGGGAGAAGTGAGGGACTTGCTCCTTCCTGTTTGCTCAGTGTTGTCAGCGTTGCCAGCAAGGGCCCTTCACCTGGCAGCAGCACTTGGTGATAGCGTCTAGAATTTTTAGTCCTTCTAGAGCCCATTAGTAATTAAACCACGATCAGCCTGATAACCTGTAGCTGTTTCCTTTTAGCAAGTGGTAGAGGGTAGAGGGTAGAGGGAAAAAGGAGAGAGGGTGAAGCTGAGAGGAGGGCCCGATGGAGCCGGGACTTAGTGCTCCAGAGAGGGCGCTGGACTGTGTAGCTGGTGCTGGATGTATCAGAAAAGCTGGAGACTGGAACCACCTGCTGCAGCCAGGTCCTTGCTGGGGCGTAAGGATAGGAACTGTAAATAGAGTGGTCCCCCCCCCCCTTATCTGTGGCTTTGCTTTCCTTGGTTTCAGTTACCTGCGATCAACAGTGGTCCAAAAAAATTAAATGGAAAATTCCAGAAATAATTTATAAGTGCTATCCTGCCTGTGACATGAATCATTGCTTTGTTCAATGGCTCCATGCTATAAATGCTACCCACCTGTTAGTCACTTAGTAGTGGTCTTGGTTATCAGATGGACTGTTGTGATATCAGTATCGCAGTGCTTGGGTTCAGGTCACCCTTATTTTACTTAATAATGGCCCAAAGCACAAGAGTACTGATGTTAGTAATTTGGATACTCCAAAGAGAAGCCATAAAGTGCTTCCTTTAAGGGAAAAGGTGAACATTCTCGACTTTAAGAAAGAAAAAATATCATATGCTGAGTTTGCTAAGATCTACAGCAAGAATGAATCTTCTGTCCGTGAAATGGTGCCGAAGGAAAAAAAAATTCATGCGGGTTTTGCTGTTGTACCTCAAACTACAAAAGTTATGGCTACAGTGTGTGGCTAGTACTTAGTTAAGATGGCAACGCATTACCTTTGTGGGTGGAAGACACAGAATGGTGTTCTGATTGACAGCAATCAGGCTCAGTACTATCTGGGGTTACAGGCATCTACTGGGGATCTTGGAACTATCACCCAAGGATAAGGGGTCTACTGTGTACAGGAAGAGTACCCGCCTGCCTTGTAGTCCTCCAGAGACTGCGGGGGGAGTCTGGTAGGCAGACACTAACGGGAATCAGCCAGTAAAGGAGAAATGGGGTTTCCAGGGCCCCAGCATCAGTGTCACAGGACACAGGAGGGTGAATTTAGAGCTGAGAAACAAAGGACTGCAACACTTTAAGTCAAATCTCAGAAAATTTATCTCCCTTCAGGCTTCCAGCTTGTCTTCCTACCCTACGCTGATGATAAACGGAAGGTGCCCTTTACTGAAAAAGTCATAGCAAACCCAGAGCAGGTGGACAAGATGAAGGCGATTGTTCAGAAGCTCCGCTTCAAGTACAGGTGAGTACTGGGGTCAGTCTCAGGCTTTCTTTGAACTGCCTCCCGAGCTGAAGGTCTTAGAAATTCGAGTTAGGCGTAGACCAAGAGAACGTGACTTTAATCAGTCAGCTGATAGATTATTATTTGTTATTGAGAGCTTTTAAAAAGCTATATAGAGAATGGAAGCTCTTACTATATTGGAGACTCTGGGATTGTGCTGGTGGACCTGTTGTGCTGAGAAAGCAGATTATTTGGTTAAACACGTTCAAGAAAGTAACAGTAAGGGGAAAAATCTTAGTTTTGTTGATTATGTGTGTTGTCACATGATGAGAGAAAGTAAATAAATCTAATGTAAGCCAGGTGCAGTTGCTCATGCCTATAGTCTCAGCCACTCAGGAGGCTGAGGCAGGAGGATTGCTTGAGCCCAGGAGTTCGAGACCAGCCTGGGTGATGTAGTGAAACCCATCTGAAAAAAAAGAAAAAAAATCTAATGTAGGCTGGGCATGGTGGCTCATGCCTGTAATCTTAGCACTCTGGGAAGCCAAGGTGGGAGGATCGCTTGAGGTCAGGAGTTCAAGACCAGCCTGAGCAAGAACAAGACCCTGTCTCTACAAAAAATAGAAAAAAAAAAATTAGCCAGGCGTGGCATCCACGCCTGTAGTTCCCACTGCTCCAGAGGCTGAGGTAGGAGGATTGCTTGAGCCTGGGAGTTTGAGGCTGCAGTGAGCTATGATGCACCACTGCACTCCAGCCTGGGAGACAGAGTGAGACCCTGTCTCAAGGAAAAAAAAAAATCTCATGTAAATTGTTACAAGCTTAGAAGAACGTTTAAATAATTCAAGTCATTCCCTCTCATATGCCATCTCTCAGAGCCTGCATAATGTGACACCAAACGTAATTTTTTTCACAAGCTATCTTTTTATTTACTTTTTTGAGACAGGGTCTCTTTCAGTCACCCAGGCTGGAGTACACTGGCCTCATCTTAGCTCACAGCAACCTCAAACTCCTGGGCTCAAGTGATCCTCCTGCCTCAGCCTCCTGAGTAGCTGGGACTACAGGCATGCGCCACCATGCCCGGCTAGTTTTTTCTATATATTTTTAGTTGTCCAATTAATTTCTTTCTATTTTTAGTAGAGACGGGGTCTCGCTCTTGCTCAGGCTGGTCTCGAGCTCCTGAGCTCAAACAATCCACCGCCTCGGCCTCCCAGAGAGCTAGGATTACAGGCGTGAGCCACCGCGCCCGGCCTAGACAGGTGGGCAGGTTTGCTTTTAAATGGACTTGGATTTCTCATATCAGACAATAAATTGAAAATCGAAGAGAGAAAAGTTGATTTGAGACAAGATTCCCAACTGTTTTACTTGGGGTGTTTTCCTCAGCTAACCTTGGGGTATCTCAGCTGGACTTATTTTTTACATGTTTAAGTTTTTGTGTTTTAATTGAGTTATGTTCTTATTACTGTTTCAATAGAAGTGACAGCTTTGAGAACCCAGTGCTGCAGCAGCACTTCAGGAACCTGGAGGCCTTGGCTTTGGACCTGATGGAGCCCGAACAAGCCGTCGATCTGACATGTAAGAAAGCTGTAACTGAGTCGAGTTCTTTTCATGGGAGGCTTTCTCCTGGATTCTACTCTGAAGCAGTATGTGATGTATTTCCTAGCTCTCTCTAAAGACTTAACCTCTTTGTCCAGACCACCTCCGTTTGAGAGATTTTCTAGACCAGCTTAAACAGCCAGGGAGCACATTTGGCTGGTTCTGCAGTGAGAGGAGGAGAGAGTGCCAGGCTTCTGAGACCTGCCTCTGAATTAGGCAGGTCTCAGACTATGACTAGGTCCCACCCCATGACTACATGTTGGTGAAAGTTTAAAAAATAATGTACAACATTTATTGAGTGCTTACTGTGTGCCAGACATTGTCATCCTATGTGTTGACTGATTTAATCTTCATAACTATGAGGGAAGGACTGTAATTGTCCCAATTTTATAGAGAAGGTTGTCCTGAGTGATTTGCCCTAAATTCTTAGTAGTAAGTGGTGGATCTATGTTGGAACCCATTGAATCTCACCTAGAGCCCTTGCTCTGAACCCCCGCTCTTACTGCCTCTCCATCAGACTCTGCGTGCTCTGCCTGAGAAAAGCTACCTTGTTACCCAGCATCAAAGAGCTTTGTTTGGCCTTCCAGGCTGGGTTCTTTGACCTTGCTGCTAGACCCCCTCTTGATTGTTATTCTCTTAAGTATTTCATAAGAAAAACACAGGAAGTTTAGTGATAGAAGTAAATATCCCCTGGGAAACAGATAGATTTAATGAAGATTCTCGATAGAGGCTAAAAAGATGAGAACAATTAGTTTGGCCTGCTTAGCTTCCAAGTTATTAATGATATGTCTTTTTTTTTTTGGTTGAGACAGAGTCTCACTCTGTTGCTCCAGGTAGAGTGCAGTGGCATCATCATAGCTCACAGCAACCTCAAACTCCTGGGCTCAAGTGATCCTCCTGCCTTAGCCTCCTGAGTAGCTGGGACTACAGGCACATGCCACTATGCTCTGCTAATCTTTTTCTATTTTTTGTAGAGTCAAGATCTCACTCTTGGCTCAGGCTGGTTTCCAACTCCTGACCTCAAACGATCCTCCCACCTTGGCTCCCAGAGTGCTAGGATTACAAGAGTGAACCACTGTGCCTGGCTTACAGTCTCTTTCATATTAGACAAAATAGCCCCAGCATTAAAAGCGTAACAGTTATTGGACCAGTGTTACTCTGTCTAGCTGGGTCTGGAAGAAGAGAAACCCTTGTGTTAAGCAGCCTGGCTCCTCCTCTATGGACTTCAGGCAAATTAGTAAGTCGGTTGTCTAGTGCCTAGCAAGGTGGTTAAGGACACAGGTTTTGGAAATGACTGTTTGAAATCTCAGCTTTGCTACTTACTAAATCCAGTGACTTGGGGAATATTACCTAATCTTTCTGAGACTTGGTTCCTTTTTGGTAAAATGGGAATGGTGATATCGTTCTTACAAGGTGTTGAGAAAATAAAGGCCCTGACACTCAGGAAGTGCTCAGAGCACAGTTGTTCTCAGTCCAGAGCTACTTTCCACTTCCAGGGCCTCAGCCTCTTACAGTCTGGCTTCCTGGGCCTGTGATTTTATGGAAAGTCCTGTTTTCTCTTACTGCCTCTATTTTCAAACAGTTTGGCTGCCCTAGCATTTCCTATAAACCTAAACAGCCAGGTTTGCCTCCTCAGCCCTCTCTTCTCTGCCTTTCTGCTGGTTTTCTCATTCACTCCCACAGCCTCAGTCACCGCCTCATGGCCACGACCCCCAAGCCTGCATCTCCTGCCCTTTCTTCTAGCCGCCTGGTTGGCATCTCCCGTAGGACCTGGATGTCCTACTGCTCAGACATCTGACCCTTTGACTCTTTCCTCTTTTACATCCCCCACTCTCTTCTAATCAAATGCCTGTTGCCCTCTAACACAATGATATGGTTTTCTTTTAATAAATACTTATTGAAGACTAGAAATTCTTTTCCCACTTTCTCCTTCTGGGTTTGTGACACCACAGTGTCTTGGTGTTTCTCCTGTGCCAGCGTAACTGAGACTCCTTTTCTGGATCTCTTTCCTTTTCCCCTCCACTAAACACGGGGGTGCTCTGGGGTCCCTGAGCCCCATCTTTTTCTGGCATTTCCCTGCTCCCTGGGTGCCCTCTCATCAGGTTACACTAGTGGTTCTCAAAGTGTGGTCCCTGGACTGGCAGCCTTGATGTCACCTGGGCACTTGTTAGAAGTGCAAATTCTTGAGCCCTATCCCAAGCTGATTAAATTTGAAGCTCAGATTGGGGCCCAGCAACTTGTGTTTTAACAAGCCTTCCAGGTGATTCTGAGACTTGCCACTACCTTTAGCACATTGGTTCTCAACTTTGGCCACAAAACAGAGTCATTTCGGGGCTTTCAAAAATCTGGCCATTCAGGCCTCACTCCAGACAAATTAAATCTCTAGAGGTGGGGTTTGGGCCTCGGTACTTTTAAAAACTCCCCCGGTGATTCCCGGGTTGTGAACCAGTGCTCTCGCAGAAGGCTCCTGCGGTCTGGAACATGGGGCTTCTGACATTGCCTCATCTCGGTACACCAGAGGGCAGGATCTCCCCTCGGCGCTTTGCAAATATGGTCACCAGAGACCCATGCTGTCACCCTTGGCCCTGACGTGGCTTACATCGAAAGCTCTATAAACTGTAGAGTTGGAAGCTAACAAAGAAGGAAACTGAAATATTATCTTTCCTTTAAAGCCTCCTTACCCTGTTGTGTTTGTCTTGGGGAATGCTCTGCCATCCCAACCAGTCATCTCCCTGCCCCTCACATTCCATCAGTAAGTCCTGCCAGTTCTATCACTTGTCATGTTTATGGGGTCCCCCCTCCCCATCTTCAGCAGGGTACTGTCATACCGTAAGTTCATACTCCACACAGCTGCCAGGGGATCTTTCTGAATGCAGATTGATCTGTTGCTCCCCTGTTCATAGCCCTTCGGTTTTCCCACTGTTCTTAGCATAAGGCCTAATTCCTTGGCAGACATCCAAGCTTCCGTGACTCGCCTCGCCTGCCTTTCCAGCCTCCCGCGCCCTGCCCTCCGCACACCCCACCTTCAAGCTGTGTTACCTGCTGTTTCTCCCGCATGCCCTCTCCTGGGTTTCATCTTTCCAGACTCTGCTGCAGTCTTTCCCGACCCCGCCCATGTTCCAGTGTGCCCTGTATAGTCCCTTCTTTCATGGCTTTTGTTTTTACTCACCTTGCTCTGTAAGCCCACTGCGGTCACAGATTCTTATTTGAATTCCCGGAATCTAGCCCAGTGTCTCCTCCACTCTGCCACTTCCCAGCTGTTTGACCTCTTTGCTTTTCTCCCTTGTAAAAGGGGGAGACAAATTTACCTGCCATGTAGATTGTGGGAAGGATTAATTAAAAATAGTAAGTTTAAAGCACTTAAAACAGTGCCTGGCTGTAGTAAGTGTGACTACAGTAAATTCGAATGTTGGAAGATGCTGGGGCTCGTGACTCACCAGGCCACTCTTCTGTGTTTTGATTTTCCAGTGCCCAAGGTTGAAGCAATGAATAAAAGACTGGGCTCCCTGGTGGATGAGTTTAAGGAACTTGTCTACCCACCAGATTACAATCCTGAGGGGAAAGTTACCAAGCGAAAACAAGGTGAGGAGCTGAGTGTGGAAGTTCACTGGGTTATTTTAAAGAGACAAGGTCTCTCTCTGTCACCTAGGCTGGAGTGCAGTGGCACTATCATAAGCTCACTGCAGCCTCAAATTTCTGGGCTCAAGCAATCCTCCACCCTCAATCTCTTGAATAGCTGGGACTACAGCTGTGTGCCACCATGCCCAGCTAATTTTTTTTTTTTTTTTTTTGAGACAGAGTCTCGCTCTGTTGCCCGGGCTAGAGTGCCATGGCATCAGCCTAGCTCACAGCAACCTCAAACTCCTGGGCTCAAGCGATCCTCCTGCTTCAGTCTCCCAAGTAGCTGGGACTACAGGCATGCGCCACCATGCCCAGCTAATTTTTTCTATAAATTTTTAGTTGTCCAATTAATTTCTTTCTATTTTTGGTAGAGATGGGGTCTCACTCTTGCTCAGGCTGGTCTCGAACTCCTGAGCTCAAACGATCCATCCGCCTCGGCCTCCCAGAGTGCTGGGATTACAGGTGTGAGCCACCACGCCCAGCATAATTTTAAAAAAATATTTTTGTAGAGATGGGGTCTCTCAATGTTGCCCAGGCTGGTCTCAAGTGATCCTCCCATCAGTGGGTTATTTTAAAAAGTTGTCTTTATGGTCTTATCACAGAGGATAATGTCCTTTCAGAAATATCTATTCAAACATATGTATTTACATATACCAACATATATTATTTCAGTATAAATGGAAGAGTATTCATTCTTTTCTAGTTTACTATTTTGTTACTCAGCTATGTAATGTTGGACAGTTATTTATATCAACTTAAGTATCTACCTCATTTTAAAAAGGCTGCAGAGCACTTCACTAGAGACATGTACCCCAGTTTATTGGACCAGACCTGTCTCGATGGCTGTGCTACCGGGAGCATGAGCAACCATTGTAGATCCACAGGGTAAATTCTTAGCAGCGGGGTTGCTGGGTCAAGGTGTAGACATTTACAATTCTGGTAAGAATTGCCTACCAAAATAGCGATACATTTACCGCCTAGCCAAGAAGGGGATAAATGTAAAACTGTACAAACCTGTACAGCATGTTATTGTACTGAATGTTGTAGGTCTGGGTTTTATATACTATTTTTTAAAATTTCCACAAAAATGACAGAGGGAAAATTATGTCCTGTTTTGATTTGCAGTTCTCCAGTTATGAATGAGATATAGTTTTACTGGACATTTTTTTTCCTGTGCACCATTACTAGCCTTAACCATTTTTTCCTACTGGACTCTGTTCTTTTACCGGTGGACGCAAAGTTCTCTTTACCATTATGCTCACATTTCAGGACAGCATGTGTGCGCTCTTACCATTTTAGAACAGTTCCGGCTTAGGCTGAAATCTTTTTGGCTCTTTGGTCATGTAAAGCCACGTTTGGGCTGTGCTGAGGAAATGTTGCTGTGAGAGGTTAGGTTGGTGGCCAAGTTGCTTTCTCCTTCCTGCATCAGAGGGGATGGCTGTAGTGTCCTGGTAAACTGCTATAAGACCTCTGCATACTCTACACTTAAATGAAGCTGCCTATTTCAAGACACCTGTCTTTCCCATGTTGTTCTAGGTAGGCATCACAGCTTTATGGAAAACGGTTAACTGCAGCCCAGATCATCCGATCATATGAGGGCCCCCACTTTCCAATCACTGCCTCCTGACCTTTTTCCCCAGATGGTGAAGGTTCTGGAAGCAAAAGGCCCAAGGTGGAGTTTTCTGAAGAGGAGCTGAAAGCCCACGTCAGCAAGGGCACGCTGGGCAAGGTGACCGTGCCTGTGCTGAAGGAGGCCTGCAGGAGGTACGGGCTGAAGGGTGGGATGAAGAAGCAGGAGCTATTGGATGTACTCACCAAGCACTTCCAGAACTGACCAGAGACCATGCATCCAGCCATTCCTTCCACACTGCAGCCAGGCTGCCTGGTTTTGTTCTTCTTAGCAAGTTAAAAAATGTTTCTCCTGAGTTAGAAGGAGTCTCCCTGACAGAAGCCAAAGGACTTATATACATTTATGAGACTTTCTGTTGCCGTGGAGGCCATGTAGTCTTCCCACTTTGCTGTGCCTTATGCTACTGCCAAATAAAAAGCCCTAACTTTGTACTATACACTGTTCATTTTTTGAGAGTCTCACTCTGTTGCCTGGGCTAGAGCGCCGTGGCATCAGCCTAGCTCACAACCACCTCAAAGTCCTGGGTTCAAGTGATCCTCCTGCCTCAGCCTCCTGAATAGCTAGGACTACAGGTGTGCGCTACGACTCCCAGCTAATTTTTCCATTTTTAGTAGCGACAGGGTTTCGCTCTTGTTTAGGCTGGTCTTGAACTCCTGACCTCAAGGAACCCTACCACCTCAGCCTGCCAGAGTGGTAGGATTATAGGCGTGTACCACCCGCGCCTGGTTCTATATATTATTCTTTAGTGTGAAAAGGTTTGTCTGCCTTGCATCCAGAGCTCACTGGCCATTGGCTATTAGCATAATTTTCTCATTGGGAACACACATCACAATGGAAACAAAACATACCAGTGGGGGTGGGTGAGAGTGTGACAATTAAGGACAGGTGAACATAACTTCAGGAATGACAACCCTAGTAGGATTGTATTCTCCGTATCCTCTGGCCTCCTACCTACTTTCCTTTAAACGTGTCATGTTAAGGTCTAAAAGTCAGATGTCAGAAGCAATAAGATTCTCCAAAATAAAATTTTTTTTTGTTTGTTTTAGAGACAAGGTCTCCCTCTGTTGCCCAGGTTGGAGTGCAATGGTGAAGTCATAGCTTGCTGTAACCTTGAACTCCTGGGCTCAAGTGATCCATCCCAGCCTCTCGAATAGCTGGGCTAAAGGTGTGCACCACCACGCCCAGCTAATTTTTAAATTTTCTGTAGAGACGGGCTCACTATATTGCCCAGGCTGGTCTTGAACTGGCATCAAGTGGTCCTCCCACCTCTGCCTCCCAAAGTGCTAGGATTACAGGCATGTGCCACTGTGCCCAGCCCCAAATAAATCATTTACACCAAATTTTGCAACCAACTGCTTAGGTAGCTGGATAGGAATGACTAGATTTCCTCTTTGCTTGCATGTCTGGGCTCCGGAATTATCCATTCTACACTTTTGGAGCATCTATGCACTAGGGCGCCACACAAATTCCTGCTACCTAATAATAACTGGAAAACAATCTCAGATATTAATTATGTTCAAGTAAAAAAAAAAAGACTTACAGAGCTAGGGGGAAAAGGAAACATCTCCAAGTGATTTTTGAATTAAGACTAGAATGAGGAGAAAGCCCATGCAGTCAAAGAATGCCAGGTGCGAAGGATTTGAGAAGGAAGGAGGTCTGGAGTGTTACAGAAACAAAATATGGAACACTTAGCAAAGATGGAACTTCCAGGCCCTAGTTTCCATTTAGATGGAGGTTGGATTTCTGGAGCTCCCCTTTCTCCTAAATTATTTCAGTCTTTTGGATTATGATTATAAAAATACATACACAAGAAATAAAGTACAGTCATATGTCACTGAATGGGGATACATCCTGAAAAATGTGCTGTTAGGCATTCTGCCATCACGCAAATGCGAACATCATGCCGCGTAGCGAGACAGTTTAGCCTACTACACACTCAGGCTACATGGTGCAGCCTATTGCTCCTCGGCTACAAACCTGTACAGCATGTTACTGACTACTGAGTATTGTAGGGCACTGTAATAGTGGTATTTGTGTATCTAAATGTAGAAAAGGTACAGTAAAAACATATTATTATAACCTCGTAGGACCATAATATACATGATCTGTTGTTGATTGAAACGTTATGAACACGTGACTGTATGAAGAAGCAAGCAAGCACTACCCGAAACTCCACCTTCAAAAATAAATATGCAATTGCTTTAGGGGTGGTGGTGATGTCAACACTGGAGTGAGGCAGAGAAACCGCCAGTAGGCATAGAACTGATTGGTTCCCAGGTTCCCCCAAGTTGCTTCCTACTGGAGCAAGGGGTACCTTGGCACAAGCTGGCTAAGAGGAAATCTATCCTAATTTGCTCACTCTTTGCTCAGTTATTTGCACCTTAGAAGATTTCTCAAGCTGAGGTATTAGGCTCTCATGGGACTTAGCCTTAGATATAAAAAGTAAAAGAGGCAGCTGAGGTGGCAGTGGCCTCAGTCACCAATACTAGTCCTGCATGTGCCGAAGGCTACCAGGAACCCTAATTCTGCAATAGTGGCTCTCAACTGGGGGTGATTTTAGCTCCAGGGAACATTTGGGGGTGAGTTGCTACTGCCACCTAGTGAGTAGAGGCTGCTAAAAATCCTACAGTACACAGGGCAGCCCCCTACAAATTAACCAGCCCCAAATGTCAATAGTGCCGAGGTTGAGAAAGCCTGTTCTAAAGTGATAACAACACTCCAATGATTGAGTCTGTACAAGACACTGTAAACTGCCAAACCAGAAACTACTTGGTAGGAGGTGATGGCTTTTCCACAGCATCTTGGTGAAAAAGTTTAAGAAGCTATAACCATGCTAGTAATGCTAACCATTTCTTCATTCAAATATCAGCTAAGAATTTCTACTAAGCCAAATATTAGCTTAATATTCATTAAGAATCACGCACTGCCACACTCCTTCATTAAATTGGAATACAAATATATTTCTTTATTAGGCTGCTCACAAGAATGAAGGACACAGTAGCACTCTTCTCATGTGATAAAGAATATATCTGACCCAACTGTGGCAGGCAACAGGCTGGTAAGGGCTCTCAGAGCTGGGCCAAGTGTCCACTGAAGAAATCCCCATTCCCCAAAGAGAAGTTGTTTCCTTAGACTCCATTATCTCTGTTGTAGCTACCAGCCAGGTCTCCATGATCTTCCCAGAATCTTTCGTTCCAGCATCAGATGATGCTCTGCCCTTGACACTCCTGACTCTTTCAAGACCCAGGTCAAGCGCCCCATGTCTCACTCACCCGGGCCACCTCTAGAATCCTGCTGCCCTGCCACCCTCAGGGATACAGCCGGGGGTCAGGGAGGGAAAGGACAAAACATCATTATTACCAAAAGCAAACAGCATGGGTACATTTGTAAATGACACTTGGACATAAGCCTAACCTCACAGAACACATGCTTCCTCTCCAAGTGATACACAATCCCCTGGGGAGCAAAGAAAACCCCTTGATCATTTTAACACAGGAATGATTCTATATGTCAGGCACAAGGGATACAAAATGGATAGTGTTTACTTGAATCATATCCTGCACACAGTAGGAAGTTAACAGACGAGAGCTGGAGCCATATCTCTATCCTGGCTCCATAAGGTTTCTCCTGGCTCTTCCTGCCTTTGAATGGTGCCACCAGTCTGCTTCCATCTGTTCTGAGCATCAGTTCATTTTTCGAAAGGGAGGATAAAAGGATGAAGGATGGCAGAGAATGTAGAAGGGGTTAGAAGGGGGAAAACAACCCTATAAAACAGAACAAAAACAATACAAAACTCCAGAAACCAAATGCAGTACTACAGTATTTTATAACAATAGAAAGTAGCTGAAAATACTACATGCTAACACAGACAGTATGATACACAACCTCAGGGGGAGGAGTCAACAGGGAGAATGTGGCAGAGGCCACAGGTTTAGACTAAGAGCCTTTCGATGGACTGCTGAATGGACTGGATCTGCTGCTTCAGCTGTGAGCCTTCTTTGATAGTGACAGAACAGGCAATGACAGGCCTGGAGACCCCACAGGCCCGCCCCAGGGCCTGCTTGGAGCGCACAAACACGTAGGGCACATTCTTGTCTTCACACAGCAGTGGGAGGTGCAGAATGATCTCCAGCGGCTCAGCATCTGCAGCCATCACAATGAACTCAGAGATGCCCCTGTTGAGGGTTTTGGTGGCTGTGGAGACAAGGACACAAGGCCAACAGGTAATGTTGGGCATGGGTAGGAAAGCCACAAAAAAGCAATTTCTAGGGAAGAGAGTAAGAGGTGAAAGAAAACTGGGCAAAACATCTAGGCACAAGCAATTCTCTGTTCTGGAGCAGTCCTGGGACATGATAAGGGATTCAAACACCAACTAGTTATCAGTGACATCCCTTTCTTGAACTCTACATGAAACTCATCACTTCTGTCTTCAAAACACATCCTGAATCTGACCGCTTCTTTCCTCTCCCCTCTGCTACACTTGTCCAAGTCACCATCATTTCTTGCCTGGTCAACTGCAACAGCTTCCATACAAGCCCCTGAAACATGAAGTAGTGCAGTGTAGCACTTCTCAAGCTATCTGTGATGAAGGATTAGGGTTTTACTATCCTCATCTGTCATAGTCAACACTTCTGGAAAGTTCACACCACATGTGATCCACCATGCATGTTCAATAATACCCTACAGCATTGTTTCAAGTGCTTACTCCTCGTTGCTGGTCTCTGTAGCCCAGTGCTAGTCCATGGACCACATTCTGCATTAATGCTGGAGTTTGGACAAGACCACAGACTCTTGAGCTACACTGCCCGAGTTCAAACCCTTGCACTCACTCTTACTAGACACGTGACCTGGCGCAAGGTGTTTAACTTCCCTCATTTGTATCATCTATAATAAAATAACACAGTACCATAATTCCACCTCACAGGATTCCTGAAATGATTAAATTAGTAAGAATAATGCCCGGCACACAGAAAATGCAAAGTATGTTAGAGTTGTGGAGTGATTCTTTTAAAAGCATTGAGTCAGATCACATCAATCCTGCTCCTCAAAAATCTTCCTCATGGTTTCCCATTGCATCACAGAAAATATAAATTGCTAACAATCACCTTCAACGTCTCCTGTGATCTGGTGATCTCACTGTGCTCTCAGTTACCTCTCATCTCCTCAACTGGTTCCAGCCACACACTGGCCTCCTCAGGAACCCTCAAGCAAGTCAAGCATGCCTTTGCACCATGTCTAAAGATGCTTCCCTCAAACAACCTTATCTACTCAGTTCCTTGCTCAAACTTCAACTCTTCAGAAAGACCCTCTCTGAATACTCCATCCAGAGAGATTCCACCCTCTTTCTCTCTTTATTTTCCTCTGCAGCATTCTTTACTACCGGATATATAAACTACATCCTTTTCCACTAGAAAGGAAGCTCCAAGAAGGCAGAGA